TATTTGATTGTCCACCTTTACTCAGGAGGTACACAGTAGTGATTTTTATATTTTTAACGGGTGACTAAAATATTCATAATATATTGTGTTACTCATTGTTTCGAGAGAAGTGCGATGCTGGAAGATGACCATTTGTTGATGGGTCATGACTATAGGCGCACCCTTTCTCTCCTCTTCTAAACCTTCTTTCTCTTTATACACGACGACCACTAGGAAGCCTCGTGATGGTGCGAGTCACCAAACTCTTGTGGGTTGCAACCATACTGGTCTCAGAACACGGTACACAGTAGCTAAGTGATCCTCACTGATGACTGTGACGACCACTGGCCTCAAAACACGGTGCACAGTAGCTAAGTGATCCCCACTAACCAACAACTGTGACGACCAGTGGCCTCAAAACACGGTGCACAGTAGCTAAGTGATCCCCACTAACCAACAACTGTGACGACCACTGGCCTCAAAACACGGTGCACAGTAGCTAAGTGATCCCCACTAACCAACAACTGTGACGACCAGTGGCCTCAAAACACGGTGCACCGTAGCTAAGTGATCCCCACTTACTGACGACAACTGGGCTCATAAAGTGGTACAAAGTAGCTAATTATACATAACAACGACGGTGATCTCAGTTCAGAGCAGCCAAGCAATCAACAGCTGCTGATGAGTAATAATCAATTCCTGTATTTAAACTTTATCATTATTTTTAAGTATTATCTTTAAAAAAAATTTGAACTCTATTATTAATTCTATATGTACAAGCAAGTTTATTATATAATATTTTTGATTTTTTCTGATAAATTTATAAAAAAAAATTATAAAAAAGTAACGGATGTTTATTTTTTAAATTGAAATTGTTTCAAGACCTTTAAATTATTTTATATAAGTAACTTAATTTTTTTTAAAACAATATTTTTTTAGTAGATATTGTAATTAAAAAGATATTAATGCTATTTATTTGCTTGTCCTTTCTCACTCAGAAGGTAAGCAGTAGTGTTGTTTTTTTCTATCTTTTGAGGATGACTATAATATTCTCAAAATAGTGTGTTTATTCATTGTTTTGAGAAAAGTGTCATGTTGGAAAATGACCATTTGTTGAGAGTCACGGTACACAGTAGCTAAGTGATCCTTACTTACTGATGACTGTGTGATGACCAGAGGCCTCAATACACGGTGCACAGTGGCTAAGTGATCCTCCACTTACTAACGACTCTGACGACCACTGGCATCAGAACACGGTACTAATCAAATTAAATGTTTATTCAGGTAAGGCACATACATACAAGGTGAGATACAAACATTGATGGATTTATTGATAGAGCTAGTACATACAATGCCTAAAGCCACTATTACGCAAAGCGTTTCGAGCAGGGGGACGACTTAGGTACACAGTAGCTAAGTGATCCCCACTTACAACTGTGTGACGACTAGTGGCGTAGTGAGACACTCTGGTGTAGTGAGACACTCTGGTGTAGTGAGGCACGCTGGTGTAGTGAGACACTCTGGTGTAGTGAGACACTCTGGTGTACTGAGACACTCTGGTGTACTGAGACACTCTGGTGTAGTGAGGTACTCTGGTGTAGTGAGGCACTCTGGTGTAGTGAGGCACTCTGGTGTAGTGGGGCACTCTGGTGTAGTGAGGCACTCTGGTGTAGTGAGGCACTCTGGTGTAGTGAGGCACTCTGGTGTAGTGGGACACTCTGGTGTAGTGAGGCACTCTGGTGTAGTGAGGCACTCTGGTGTAGTGAGGCACTCTGGTGTAGTGAGAGACTCTGGTGTAGTGAGGTGCTCTGGTGTAGTGAGGTGCTCTGGTGTAGTGAGACACTCTGGTGTAGTGAGACACTCTGGTGTAGTGAGACACTCTGGTGTAGTGAGGCACTCTGGTGTAGTGAGACACTCTGGTGTAGTGAGGCACTCTGGTGTAGTGAGACACTCTGGTGTAGTGAGACACTCTGGTGTAGTGAGGCGCTCTGGTGTAGTGAGACAATCTGGTGTAGTGAGACACTCTGGTGTAGTGAGACACTCTGGTGTAGTGAGACACTCTTACTCTCACACACTATTTTTTTACTCTCAACTTACTGACAACTGTGACGACCACTAGCCTGAGAACTCGGTGCACAGTACCTAAAAAATCCCAATTTACTGATGACTGTGTGAATACTATTAGCTTCCGAACACGGTGCACAATAGCTAGGTGATCCCTACTTACTGATGACTGTGTGACAACCAGTGACCTCAGAATACAGTGCACAGTAGCTAAGTGATCTCTACTTACTGATGACGACCAGTGGCCTGAGAACACGGTGCACAGTAGCTAATTGATCCCCACTTAATGACGACTACTGGGCTCAGAACGTGGTACACAGTAGCTAATTACACATACCAACTACTGTGATCTTAGTTCAGAGCAGCCAAGCTATTTATTCTCGTGTTTAACTATTATAATTATTAAGTATTAAACTTTAATTGTTTTACTCTTAGAAGTATTTGAAAGCATTGACATCAAATTTTATAATAATCAATTTTTAATTTTTCTTTTAATTTTTTCTTTAATTTTTATACGAAACTTATTTAAAAAATTAAAAGATTTAAAAATTTTCATTACAAACCTTCCACAAATATATATATCACTTTTAATTTGTACTGTATATTAATTAATATTTTGGTTAGTAATTGATTGTAAATAAGATTATATAAATACTATTTATTTGACAGCCCTCGCACACTCTGGAGATGAACACAGTTTTTTTTTATCTTTAAAGGGACACTAAAATATTCATAATATATTGTAATCATTAATTGTTTCGAGAGAAGTGCGATGCTGGAAGATGACCATTTGTTGATGGGTCATGACTATAGGCGCACCCTTTCTCTCCTCTTCTAAACCTTCTTTCTCTTTATACACGACGACCACTAGGAAGCCTCGTTATGGTGCGAGTCACCAAACTCTTGTGGGTTGCAACCACACTGTATTGAGAACACGGTACACAGTAGTTAAGTGATCCCTACTTAATTACGACTGTGACGACCAGTGGGCCTCAGAACACGGTGCACAGTATCTAAGTGATCCCAACTAACCAACAACTGTGACGACCAGTGGCCTCAAAACACGGTACACAGTAGCCAAGCGATCCCCACTTACTGACAACTGTGACGACCAGTGGCCTCAGAACACGGTCCACAGTAGCTAAGTAATCAGTACTTACGACTATGACGATCAGTGGCCTCAAAACACTGTACATAGTAGCGAATTAACAACAACATACTGATGACTGTGTGACGACAACTGGTGCAGTGAGACACCCTAGTGTAGTGAGACACTCTGGTGTGGTGAGACAGTCTGGTGAAGTGAGGCACTCTGGTGTGGTGAGGCATTCTGATGTAGTGATGATGTTCAAATTATCAGTAAGAATCAACCAACGCAAATATATGGAGGAGTCCTAGATAAATGCATTGGCTTTAACTTGTCATACACAACTCATGAGACTGATATTATGGATGACTTAATGTCTGACCATTTAGCCATAACAGCTAACATACACGTGGCTAATGTTGACCTACCTGGCACTAAGCTGAGTAGACGCAGGCTGACAGTAAGGAAAGAGCAAGAAGAATTCTTTATAGACAGCATAGCACATTGATATAACAATTATGAGCCTGAGAATGTATAACAATTTTATGATGACCTCATAAATAAAACCTATGAGGCCATCAAAAATAGTGATGGCCATCAAAAATAGTGATGGCCAATAGTGATAAAATCAATTGCTAGACAGACAGGTAAAGCATATAAGTGCCTTAGAACTCCTCAAATGTTAAAACTGTTTCAGGCCGCGCTTGCAGCGGCAAGGGAGAGAATGACTGAACTCAGACAAAATGAATGGGAGGGTTTTGTTAGTGGACTTAACCTGCATGCTCCCCTGGGCAAAGCCTGGAAAGGCATATAAACAAAATTAGTGGTAAAAATAATAGACAAGTTGCATACCCAAACCTGTGAGGGAATGAAAATTCCCTCAGCTAGTTTTTCTAGTTTTCTAGATTATGTAAGAGTCGCTCTAGGACTCTAGACAAGAAGTTTTCAAGCTACATGCACTTGTGTGGTGTTGGATGAAAGAAAGATGCTAAGGACCATCGTTTAAGACTAGCCATGAGTCTGTTACTGCTCTGTAGAGTGTTACAGAATTTAGTCTATTTTCAAGAAATGGGACTTGTGAGTGAGTGTGATATGAGAGGGTACTTGAACTCGCTAGCCAACGGTTTTAGAGGTGGGGGGACAGAGGGGTGAATATCACCTCCCCCCACCCTGGGAGGTATGATGTCACACTCCTAGGCCTCCCCTGCCTTGTGACGTCACGGGACGCCTCAAGGCGTCTCGTCTGTGATTCGTCTAGGCATCTCAGCCTCGTGGTGAGTTTCAGGCGTGAACGGCTGTAATTGGAAGCAGCACAAGAGGCTGTGCCGGCTTTGTTCTGATTGGTCAAGACAAGGTGGGGGGAGACGGGCATCTTTTGAGTCCCCTAGCCCGCGAAAAGTTAGTCTAGGACCGGCGAGCAGAGGACAAGGTGTCTCCGGGTGAGGGTGGCGTGTCTGCCACCTCCATTAATCGCTGTGTCATCCTTATTACTCATCGCGCACGGTAATCCTGCCATCGTGGATCGTGTCGGGATCCAATTTGCGTGATCTTGGGCCGAGGAGTAAGGAAGGAACTGTGTAATAACTCTAGAGACAGTGTTCACCCATGAGGCACCAGGCAAGCCTCGTGGTGTATCAGATGTGGTTGCTCACATCTGGTGTTATGTGTTTTCCTGTCTATGTTAACGGACAATTGGTGGAATAGGGCAGGGCCTCCCAGGGTAATTGAGGTGAGATTACAGGCCCCTGTTGGACTTTGAAATTCCACCTTGCCGTGTCCGACATGTTGTGTCGCCCGCCATTATCACACCCGGTGTACGAGCGAGCCATGCTCGTGGTGTGATGTGGGTGTGAGTGCATTTTCCACCCACGTTGTGTACGCCTGAGGCTCCAGCATGAGATCTCGGCTACCCCGCACCGCACCGCTCCGTGGCCAGACACCGTGGGGCCACGTGATGGCCACCCGCCTGTGGGCCACACCGTGTGCGCCACCTCATCCTGGGTTGGGCGCTGCGACCGCCTCGCGCTACTCCGTGGCCACCCCTTACGGCCACACGGTGGCGACATGTCATGGCCACCCCTTAGGGCCACACGGTGGCCACATGTCATGGCCACCCCCTGGACCGCGCTTGGCCACATGCCCTGGTCGACGCACGTGGGAGCGAGCTAGGTGTTCTTCAGCAAGTGTGATTGTGACCGGGGGAGTGAATGAAAGAGAGTGGTAATGGTGAGTACACATTATTTGTAATGTATGCAGTGTCTCAGGACTGTTGTAAATTCCGGTAACAGCTGTGTTGTCCCATAGCGCCTGCCAGGCGAGGGAAGCAGCTGAGAGACAGCTGTCTGTACTGACGTCCAGGTGACTGTCTGTGATGTACCTGAAGGTGTATGTTATACACAGAACCACACATGTAGATGTATATAGATATATTTGTGTGTAGACTGACTCGAGTATGTAAACCGGTCAGTGTAGATATTTTTACCATATAAGTGATCGTTGATCTGTCGATTCAATATATATCGTTCAGAGTCAAGATTAATGCCATGTTGCCGCATGTTAATTATATCATTTACAGAGGTAGGCAGGCCAGTGTAGTAGGGTTGTCAGTGGACACCCTAAGGTCTGTATAATTAGGTATAATTATCTCTAATGATATATAATTTATATATATATATATGTGTAATTTTATGTTGTTGTGATGCATGATGGGTAAGCTATTTGATTTATGATCATTGATTAGTGTGTACCATTTCCATGTGTTTCATTTGCATGTATATTATTACGGTGTTGTGTGGTGAGTCAGTAATTGTGATTGCTGACTGATTGCATAGTGATGTCATTAGCATGTGGGGTATGCTGACGGCATCATTATGTTTGTATGTTTGGGCAGTGTTGTTGTTTGGTATACGTTATATTACTGCCCTAGGAGCTGTGTTGATGATTTAAGGAGGTCCCTTTAATTATTCAGGGGAATTCACAGTACTTAATGAGAGAGCAAGCAATTGATTGGTTAATCTGCCTAATTATGAGAATTAGTGCCAGCTGTCAGTGTAGCGACGGTGTCTTATGTTAACGTAAATTGTTTTGCTAGAGTAGTGATTCCACACAGTAGTTCCTTGCAACTGTTGCAAGATTAGAGGGGGCAGTAATGTAGGTATACTTTTGTGTTGCCAAACCGTGTGTCATTACTGTGAGGGTACAGTAATTACCGTGTTGCAGAGAGCTGCAACCGTATGTGGGCTGTGCATTTATTTTGTTATGCCACTGTAAGTGTGACCTATGTAACCTGGGGTTACTTTGTGTTTCTTTAAGTTGTGTTGATGACTTAAGGATTCAGTGAGATTAATTTGACGTTAATTGGGGTAATTAACGTCATGAGGGGTTGTACATTACTTCATGAGAGAGTTGTTAAGGGAGACAGTGATGAGCTTGTTGAGATACGTTTCAAGTGCAATTAATTGTCCGTTTGGCAACTAATTGACCACTCTAGCTAATTGTGTAATTAGCATTCTCATCATGAATTCACTTAGTGGGGAGGAACTGTCAAGGTCTGACAGTATTTGTGTTAACGTAATTTGCTCGAGACTAATTAATAGCAATTAGTGGCTCATGATAATTAGTGGATTAATTAACGTCAAAGGTCTTGATGACTCGGTAAAGCGAGGTCATGGAGCTAGCATAACTCGTTATATTAATCATATCCTGTCTGGTGACAGTGGATTAAGATGCACTCATGTTAATTAGGGTAATTAACACCTCGTCCGTGAATTCACAGTGTTTGATGAGACCTGCTTAGGCAGTGCGGAGTGAGACGTATTTATGTATGATTAATTATCGGTCCTGGTGACAGTTAATTAATTGCTCGGGGTTAATTAGGGTAATTAACGCTCATTAAAGTAAAGTTTGACATAGACTGTTGAGAAGCTACCAAGATAGTGGTAGGCTTAGTTAACGTAACTCGATTGGGATTTAATTAGTTGTCCGTTTGACATTAATTAGGAATTACTCACTGAATACTTGAAGGAGTCAAGTGTGATGTAATTTAAGAGACTTTGAGTTATTGTTAACAAGTTGACTTGTGTTAAGAGAGACAAGTGTTTGTGATTAACGTAGAGTACTTTGTTGCTGACTGCTGTGGACAGTCAATTAACGTAATTAATCACATAATCAATTTTGTAATTGATTAAGGCAATTTCTTTTGTTTATCGTCTGGTGACGAGAGTAAAGTAACTTGGGGATTACTGGAGAAGTGTCTCAGAATCCCACCTTGCCTGGCTTTGTTTACTGTTTACAGTTGCAACTTCTTGCAGGGAGTTGCAAAGAGTGTTCACATTAGGTTGTGATAGGGGGAGTCAGTGTTGGACTACCCGCCTAGTTACGTGGGTATCTCGCCTGGAGGGTTGGAGGACCCGTAAGATTGTGATTATAGTATCTGTTCACCGTGAAGCCGTGACAATATTGATTGCAAGCTTGCGTCATCAGTGGGCATCATTGTTCAGTTAGTTCATTTAGTCAGCCCGAAGTGTCAGCAAGATGGAGACTGCTGTCATTTCTCGAGGGGCTGTTGAATAGCTGTGTTGCAAGTGCCACTGGATAGACATTAACGTAACGAATCACTCACTGTTGTGTAAACTAGTCTTGTGAATTATTTGTTTGCAATATTGCGTCGTCAGTGGGCACACCTGTGTTCAGGTTAGTTCAGTATGCAGCCGCACAGCAATGGACCGGAGTCGTTGCTATTTAGCTGTTGTTATAGTGCCACTTGATGGACATTAACGTAACGTAAACTCGATGTTGTAGTAGTTTAGTCTCTTGTAAATAAATTAATTTGTTATAGAAAACGGTCTTTGATGTCAACCCTTCAACCATTCTCTTCCACCCATGTTCTGCTTTATACGATTGTCTGTAAATGTGATCTTTTTTTAATGACGGCTGTTCTTGGGAAATTCCAATTCATACCACCACATCAAATACAAATATTTGATTGTGAGAACCCGTCGGTTACCCTTTATTGGTTTTAACGTCCTGTTTAACTAGGAGGAACCAGCGGCCTATGTGGACAGGTTTTCACCCTTGTGGTGGGAGCCTGGCGGTTTGCTCCCGCTTTGCCTTTTTCTATTGGTCTCATGCTTAGAGTAGAAATATCTGCAGTGTGCAGTTCTTTATGCTTGAGGTCCACCTCCTAAGGGAGGTAGGTGTAGAAAAAAAAAAATCTCACAATAATCTTAAAAGTATACAAAATTTTGTATATTCTATTTAATTTTAAATATGAAATAATATTTACCTAGTAAATGATTGTAAATAAAAAGATAAAATGCAATTTATTTGCTTGTCCTCCCTCACTCCAGTGATAGATGGTAAAGTTGGTTTTTTATACATTTTTAAAGGGTGATTATAATATTCACAATATATTGTGATCATTCATTGTTTCGAGAGAAGTGCGATGCTGGAAGATGACCATTTGTTGATGGGTCATGACTATAGGCGCACCCTTTCTCTCCTCTTCTAAACCTTCTTTCTCTTTATACACGACGACCACTAGGAAGCCTCGTTATGGTGCGAGTCACCAAAAAACTCCTGTGGGTTGTAACCACACTGGTCTCAGAACACGGTACACAGTAGCTAAGTGATGCCTACTTAATGACGACTACTGGGCTCAGAACTTGATGCACAGTAGGTAATTACACATACCAACTACTGTGATCTCAGTTCAGAGAAGCCAAGCTATCACCAATGACTTATGAGTGAGAATGAATTCACATATTTAACTATTAAATTTTATTGGTATTATATTAAAAAATTTAACGTTACTAAAGATATGTAATTTTAGTTAACAAAGTTTGAAAATAAATATTTTTAATTTTTTTTATAACTTTTGTTTTAGTTTTTATACAAAACTGACACACGAAGTTAAGGGATTTAAAAGCTTTCTACAGATCTTTACACAAATTTATAAAGGACTATTAATATATATTTGAATTAATATTTTTGCTAAGAATTGATTATAATTAAGATACTGTAAATGCTATTTATTTAATTGCTCTCCCTCACTCAGGAGAGAGCCAGTAGTTTTTTTATATCTTTAAAGGGTAACTAAAACATTCAAATATATTGTGATCATTCATTGTTTCGAGAGAAGTGCGATGCTGGAAGATGACCATTTGTTGATGGGTCATGACTATAGGCGCACCCTTTCTCTCCTTCTAAACCTTCTTTCTCTTTATACACGACGACCACTAGGAAGCCTCGTGATGGTGCGAGTCACCAAACTCTTGTGGGTTGCAACCACACTGGTCTCAGAAAACCGTACACAGTATCTAAGTGAGCCCTACTTACGTACGACTATGACGACCACTCGCCTTAGAATACGATACACAGTTGCTAAGTGATCCCCAATTACTCAAGACTGTGACCTCAGAACACGGTACACAGTATCTAAGTGATCCCCACTTACTGACAACAGTAACGCCCACTGGCCTCATAACACGGTGCACAGTAGCTAAGTGGTCCCTACTTACTGATGACTGTGTGACGACCAGTGGCCTCAGAACACAGTGCACAGTAGCTGAGTCATTCCCCATTTAATGACAACTAATGGGCTCAAAAAAGTGGTGCACAGTAGATAATTAAATATACCAACGACTGTAACCTCAGTTTAAAGTAGCTAAGCCATCAACATCTTCTGAGTCAACTATTATGCATTATATAAAAAAAAAGTATTATAATTTTCTGTATCATTAAAGCACGTTTATAAATAAATATTTTCATTTAATTTTTTATTTTTTTTTTCATTTTTATACAAAATTTTAAAAAACTAAAATTTTTGAAAATGCTTTCAATTTTTTTTTTTACTTTATATATGCTATTAATTTTTAATACGAGTTATTATTTTCCAACGAATTATTTGTAATCAGGAAGACATAAATGCTATTTATTTGCTTTTTCTCCCTACCTCGAAAGGAAAGCTGTAGTGTTGTTTATTTTTAAACATTTTTAAAGGGTGACTATAATATTCACAATGTATTGTGTTACTCATTGTTTCGAGAGAAGTGCGATGCTGGAAGATGACCATTTGTTGATGAATCATGACTATAGGCGCACCCTTTCT